GCACAAGTCCTTGCCCCTTTCTGACGGTCACGATGGCTGATCGGCAGCTGAGGACTCAAAGAGAAATCCTGCTGAAAGTCACAACTTCAAGCGTCCGAGCAGCGAAATGAGCGCATGAAAAGTAAAAGTACTTGTTGCGCTGTTTCTGGGGTTACCGCACAAACCGCCCGCAGTAACCCCCAAAAAACAACCCGAGGGAGAAACTGTGACTTCACTTTCTCACTGCAGAAATCGACTTCTGTACGTTTTAACCGCGCAGCCTGAGCCCATCATCGGACAAAAGAATCCGCGATAAAATATCTGTTACCGACTTCCTGTTAAGACCTCCCCCTCTCACGGTCTCAACAAACTTGACCCCAACAAAAGGACACATAAGGTAAGGGTCAGTCTGCCCTCTGCTGCTGTGAATGGGACGCTGCAGGTCCACGTGACCACAGCCATTTATTTAACTATATAAAATCTTCATGTAAAACACGCATCGTGTTATTTAAAGTCCTCAAAATAAAACTATTAAAATTCGCTTTTTCTTTAACAAAATTTCCACAGACTGAGTGACGCGCAGTGACGTCACAGATATTTGAAGCTACAGGACAGTTTCATTTCATCTCCATAAAATTTGCTGCCTTCATTAATCGAGTTACGGAGAAAATTAGACATGGTGAAATATCCAATATTGCATTCCTAATATTAAGCTTTCCTGACAACATCACCCTCCAGTTTGCAAACTTGCTATAAGCTTGGTTGCTTTTGTTAATGATGAGCCCACATGTGTCTGGATCTCAGTGTTTGCAAATATAACACAAGTTAATCTCATCTTAGATGAAACTTGATTTTTGCTTAAAGGTCACCAGTTCCTTCTGCAGCCATGCTGCTCCTCAGTTGACACCCACAGTCTGCAGTGAGAACACTTGTTATGGTCGTCATCATAATAAAAAGGAAAAAAAATGCACATTTTAATGTTTTATTTGTGCTGCCAGCAGCATTGTCATCACTGCTCCTCTATTTTCGCTAGCCTCTTTCTGCCAGCCTTGGCCACAGTGATGAGGATGATGAGGAAGAAGCCGACAGTCCACACAGCTGCTACGGGCAGCACCACCGCCAACAGTGCGCCTGAAACAAACGTGAAATTAAAGAGAATAAAGGGACACGTTTGTCATTAGCAGCAGGCAGAGTAAAGATGAAGGTAGAAACAGGAGCTTACTGGACTGAGATCTGTCTGGTCCTTCGATCCTGATGGGGCCATAGGTGAGGAGACCCTGATCGGGGTCTGCTCTCACGGCTTCTCTCTTACTGATCGAGTTACAATTCTGAAAAAGAACGATGCTCCTGAGAAAAGTCAAAGATGATGAGACGGTAAAAACGATGCACTTCATCTTGTCCACACACGCCTAAATCGCCCTCATTAATAGCAGCAGCTCACGGGAATGCAGGACTCGTGGTCGTCCAGGTCACACAGCTGTACGGTGCAGTGCAGGTAGAGGTCATGAGGGTCTGCTGTGAAGCGAAACATGTCGAAGCTGTAGCGGACGGTGGAGTTCTGCCCATTACGTCCAGACTGTCCCTCGGTTATATTAAGGAAGGAAACCGTTTGGTCCTTCACACACCTGGGATGAGAGAAGTCACTGGATGTGAGGAGGTCATAGTTCACGGGCCAAAAACAACACAAAGAGAAGTTCTGACCCGTTCTGAAGCAGGAAGTGAACAGATCCCTCTGTAGAGTTCGGCTGGGGATACTGTGTGGCCCAGCACTCGTTTACTCGGAGCAGAAATAAATCTGCAGGCTCTATCATCGTAACCTCGACATATACCTGTGCAAAACACAAAACAAGTCACTTTAATTAATATTTGGTTTTTCAGAAGGCTCTTAAACCAACAATTTTCTAAGAATAAATGTCAAAATTCCCAAACTCCTGATTTGATTCTTTGAAGGCAGAGAAAGGTTAGACCTGCTAATCCCAGTTGAGGTCATCTCTAATGGGAGCGCGTGCTTACAAAGTCAAAGCCACCATCAGTGTGTGGAACATTAGCTGGAACTAATTTCACCCCGAGCATAAACTCGGCTAAAAGTTTCGTCCCTTTAAACCTCGTTTTCAGCGTTTAGCCTGCACGGTCAAACACGTGGTTCTCGAACTCAGTGCTGGGAACCAGTCGTGGACAACAGAGCCACAGCAGCTGAGGTGTGGATGACCAGAAATATGGTTTTCGTCCAAAAGCCTTGAGCAACCCCTCATTTCTTGATATTTTGTTAGGAAAATAGGACAGATTTATTGAAACGTGCAAACATAAATGGAAACATTTGAGGCAAAGAGAGTTTCTACATCATCAACCAACCTTCACGGACATTCAGAGCTCCTCTTTGGATGTTGGCTGCCTTTTGTTCCATTGCTTCAGTAATGTTAACACCAACTAACCATGTCACTGCATTTGCAATCCTTGGATTCATGAAAAATGGAGCTGCTGCCAATCACAAGCTTTTCAGATGATAATGTAAATCTGATGGTCAATACTACTGAAACCCAAACCATAACAGCCTCCGTGCTTTACAGATGACTTTAGACATCCTGGTGTGCTGCTCTGACCTCGTCTGCAGATACTGATGATATTTGGATGCATCGCTCCGTGACGCCTGTTGCTACCGTCCTCGTCTACCTTGGCACACCTCAGTTTTCCCTCCCTGCCCGGCCAACTCGTTGAGTCTTCCACCTCAGTGCACACACACACACACACACACACACACACACACAACTCCAAACACACACACACACACACACACACACAACTCCAAGA